CAACTTTTGGACCTGGGGTGGTGTTTGATGTTGATTACTCCGTGAGGCAGGAGCAGTTCAGATTCTTCACTGAGGCTCTTAGGGTGAACAAACTCAAGAGTTATGTCAATCAGATGGTTGCAGAAGCTGAGGTATGCGGTGATCTTTTTTAGTTTTTCTTACTGATTGATCTAATAATGTATGATGTTGCCCCATGTTGATGTGTAATTGTGTTTTCGTTTGGTTTGTGAATTGTGACATTGGGTCTTGAAATTGCTTGTTGTAATCAGGAATTTGTTTTCCATTTGTGTGTGTGTGTTCCTTTGATTTTGGTGGCATCTTGCATGTTATGATGGGTTGGAGGAAAATTTTGTCTACCCCTTTCTAATAAACTTGCCAATGGTGAGTCTCATAGGCTTAGATCCATTGTTTTTGTTATTGCTTTTGCTCTCGATTTTCATTGACCTACTTATGTAATACACGTTTGTGCATTCAATTCAATGATCTGGCGGGATTTGGTCAATGGCCACAGCTGCGATGACCCGTGTACTGTATGTTTGGGAAACCGTTATTGTGCATTCAATTCAATGATTCGACGGGACACCTGCAATGATCCTTTTAGTGTATGTTTGTGAAACCATTTGACACATGATGTACACGGGTATACTACGTGTAGCGTATGTTTGGGAAACCATTTGAACGATGCAAACAGGAATTCCCACTTTTTAAAAATAGGAAGCAAGTAGTTGATGCTTTTAAATGATTTTGCTTTAGAGTGAAAGTTGTGGTATTATAATTTATAGATTGTGGCATTATAATTATAGTTTACACCGACATCTTTTGAAGTTTTGTGACATTGCAGATTAACTCCCTGTTTTTTCTATTCCTACGCAAACTCTTTTAATTGTTTGAAAAACACGACATTGACACCCTTTAAGACATTACGTTACCTCCCTCAACTGTACACGTTAAACATGTAGGGAGTTACATGCAATCCATGAAAGTTAGAAACTATTTGTGTAATTTACTCTAATCTATAATTCTTAGAAGAAAATTGAGTAAAAATTAACAATTTCATAATTTTTAACAAATGTGCGTAAATTTTTATCACAACACCGGGCCATTGTATTTTCAACAATGATTATAACTTTAACGCTCACCTTAGTGTAGTGTTTTTCCTATTTTAAATGAAAACAAAATTTTATGCTGTTACCTGAATTCATTCCCATATTAAGTTGGTGAAGCTCTTTCGCTTCCATTTGGACCTCACCATGATGAAATAGCATCAAACCTGGCAGTTGGTTGTTTTGTTTATTTATGTTGTTAATAGTAGACTCTTCCCTGTAATTTTTGTTGTTTGTGTACCAATGTGGCGTTGAAGATTGTTCTTTCCAAACACAAACCCAATATGCAGGACTATTTCTCAAAGTGGGGACCAAGTGGTGAGGTTGATTTGAAGTATGAGCTTGAGCATCTGATCATCTTGACGGCCAGTAGATGTCTCTTGGGGCGTGAAGTTCGCGACAAGCTTTTTGATGATGTCTCTGCATTGTTCCATGACCTTGATAATGGGATGCTTCCAATCAGCGTTCTCTTCCCATACCTGCCAATCCCAGCTCACAAGCGCCGTGACCAGGCACGCAAGAAGCTTGCTGAAATCTTTGCAACCATCATAGCTTCTCGCAAAAGTGCCAACAAATCAGAAGACGACATGCTGCAGTGCTTCATTGACTCAAAATACAAAGATGGTCGCCAAACGACAGAAGCTGAAGTGACTGGACTCCTCATTGCTGCGCTCTTTGCGGGTCAACACACAAGTTCTATTACCTCCACTTGGACTGGGGCATATCTGCTGAGCAACAACCAGTACCTTTCAGCTGTGCAGGATGAGCAGAAGAAGCTGATGGAAAAGCATGGGGACAGAGTTGATCATGATGTTTTGGCTGAAATGGATGTGCTGTATAGGTGCATCAAAGAAGCCTTGAGACTCCACCCTCCACTGATTATGTTGCTGAGAAGCTCACACAGCGATTTTAGCGTGACAACAAGAGAGGGGAAATAGTATGACATTCCCAAGGGTCATATAATTGCTACATCACCTGCTTTTGCAAACAGGCTAGATCACCTTTTCAAGGACCCTGACAGGTACGATCCCGATCGGTTTGCTGTTGGGAGGGAAGAAGACAAGGTGGCAGGTGCATTCTCCTACATTTCATTTGGCGGAGGCAGACATGGATGCCTTGGGGAGCCATTTGCTTATCTGCAGATAAAAGCAATTTGGACTCATCTGCTGAGGAATTTTGATCTGGAGCTGGTGTCACCTTTTCCAGAGATCGATTGGAATGCCATGGTTGTTGGAGTAAAGGGAAAAGTCATGGTCCGATACAAGCGGAAGGAACTTTCTGTTAACCCGTAGGACCACATGCTTCAGTTTCTGGCCCGATTTTATTTTAAACAGTTCTTGTTAGTCTTTTCTGGTTCAACTGTCCAACTTCACTGTTTATTGGACAATGGATATCTAGCTAGAATCTTTGTTGTGGTTTTTTTTTTTTTTTTTTTTTTGTAATTTTGGTAAGTGGTTTAAACTTATTTTAGCATGTGTATTAGATGCTAGGGTGTTGCAAGTAATTAATTACTTGGGTTCAAGTGAAATGGTGCTGGGTATATTTTGGGGCTGTATCATCGTAAAGTGTTTTGTTATGATCATAACTTCCTAGCATGATGAAATTTGAACAAATTGGATCCATTTAAAAGCTGGGAATCTTTCTCTTTGAAACAATTTTGACTTATAGCCTAGCATACCGGATCTTATTCAGATTCCAACCAATTGAAGTAACCGGATTTATAATGGTAGTTGCACATCACACATGTGCAACTATTATTAATCCACATATGTTCTATAATAAACAAGGCAGTTAAATGGAAAATGGAAGGGTTATGTACGATAACATAATGCAGATAGAGGGTTCAATATATAATTTTTGAATTTACAAAAAGAGTAGATCAGTAACGTGGTAAAAGTTGAAGACAGTGAATATTAGGACAGCAACACCCACTATAGTAGAACTGCTTCTTCAAGGGTCACAGAAGTAAACCCACCTTAATGTACCCATTGGTCATTTCCAATCACTGTTGTAGTGCTCATTAACATCTTCTCCAAGGGTCACACGTGTTGAATTTGTCACCACATGTTTGCAAAGACCATTAACCAAAGTTGCCAATTGCTTATCACTGCCAAGTTCATGGACAATAGCTTCTTTCTCAACTAGAAAGTATGCATCATCTTGGGTGTGAATAAGAGAGTCAATTAGTTTCAAATGTAAGGCTCCTCAGGATAGTGACACTGCTCAGAGGCTATCAGGTTCCTAAGAACACATTTTGTTGTGTGGTCTACTTTTAATTGGGGCATTTGAAACCAAGCTTTGAACAACTTGCAGCATGGCAAGCAACCCAAGCAAAGCAATCAGTTCAAGAATCGCTTCTTCTTAAACTAAATGTCAAGTAGGCATTTATCATGAACCTTCTCAATGCTTATCCCAGCCTCATCCAACTTTGTTGCAGTCCTTAGCACACACTCCTTGTGAGAATGTTTTGTCTGGCTTCTCAGTTCCTTAGGAAAATAAGAATTTCTTATTAGATCTAAAGTAGTTACGAGCAAGCTCAATAAATCTGTTATGCTTTTTGACACTGCTTGGAACAACTTTATCATATAGTTTTTCCAACACTATCATTGGAATCTGATTCTCAAGCAGCATCAAGTCACACTGGATACGTTTGCTAACAAATCCTTGAGTCATTAGATAGTCATCCTTATAATTTAGAGTTATATTTTTTTGTTCCCGTTGAAATTTAGAGTTAAAATTTTATTTTATACTCTTATTTTGTAAATTATTAAAATATGAATATATTATTTTAATAGTTATTTAGTTTAAATTATGAACATAATTAAATAACAAACTTAAAATTATATATTTAACTAAATTTATTTTATTCTTAAATAGTTTTATTATTCGTAAATTTTTATTCTCAGTACTTTTTATTTATTATTTATATACTATTTAAATTAAAATATAATTAATGACCTAATATAAAATTATTTAAAATACGTAAATAAATTAAAATTACAAAAAAAAATGTGACATGTTCCCCCACAAATTTATCCAAAACCTAATGAAACCTGGACGAAAATCAAAACGACTTTCGAAAATACAAGTCTGTACCTAAAACTCACTCTTAGTCTTTTGTAGGGACGAGAATTGTATAAGCAACATGAAAGTAAATTTCTTTTAACAAAGCTTCTCCATATATATTATCAAAAATCAAGCCTTCAATAACATGCTTAAAAAATCTCACTATTTACCAACAAATTGTGTAAGATCTTACCAGTTATGTACGACTTGCAATACAAGTTAGTAAATGAAAAATTAGTGTTTGATCCTTTGAGGGTTGAGCTAGGTGAATGAGATATGAAATGATAAACAAGAAACTGACATCACTTTATCATTTTGGTAGCTAATGCTCATATAGTGAAACCATATTTCAACTTCATTCATTCTTGGTTAAATTGGAAAATCCAGTCCTTTTAACGAACATCATTTACTGATTGTCTCCATAAGAAAATTCTACATTTTTAATTCATTTGATATATTAACTTTATATTTCATCCCCTACATATATATTCAAAAAAAAAAAATTAACAACAATACACCTTTAATTAACAATTGCCCAATTTATAAAATAAAATATAAATAAAACCATTATATAGAATTTTTTCATATAAGGACTAAAGCTTAAAATTAACATTGATTATAAAGAATAAATTTATGATTTAAGTTTAACCTTTATTCCAACTGGTGGGATTAGACTCTATTATCGAAGTAGACAACCTGATACGATAGATAGATCCACTCTTTTCTTCATTTAGACCGCATATAGAAACCAGGAGTACGCACCAAGTTCCTTCAGCTATCACTTAGCCCACTTGACCGCAAGGCTAATAAATAACAGTATAACACCATATATGATAAGCTCACACAAGCATAACACTCATCCATGTATTTAACCTTCAATACGACTAAAGTCAATATAGTTAGAGTAATTGAACATCCAAACTCTGAAACTCAAGTAAAAAAGGTACAGTATTTAAACAAGAATATAGATGTATATAACACATGAAAATTTAAAATCAACAAGGGGCATAAAATTGAGTAGTGCACTGCGTTGATCATTCATCATCTCCACGGTGACAGCTCCTCCTCCTTCCTGATTTATTGATATCCCTACCCTTCCTTGAATCATGATATCCACTTGAATCCGTGTCAGATGATGATGAGGCCCTCTTGTTCTTTCGCTTGTGCCTTACAATGGAATCTTCAGAGGAATCAGAATCTGTTAGACGGCTTCTCCTTCTCCTCTTCTCCTTCCTACTCTTTCTATGCCTGTGCCTATACTCATCATCAGAGTCCGGAGACTTGTCCCTCTTCCTCCTGTGCTCCCTTCTTCTATTCCTCCTTGTCCTTTCACCCGAATCATCTGAATCACTAACTTCCCTCTTAGCTCTCCTCCTCTTTGACCTACCTCTTTTTCTCCTCTTACCAGAATCCTTGTCTGATCCATCGTCATCTGAATTCCCCTTCTTTCTTGAAGAACTTCTCTTCCCACTGATCTTCTTCCCAGACCTTTCAGCAATAATTCTCTCGATCTCTGAATCAACCTCAGAATCTGAACTTTCACTATCCTCCTCCTCCTCCTCTTCAGAGCTCTCATCCTTGCTTCTCCTATCCACCTTCTCAGCCTTTAACTTTTTATCCAATCCAACCAACCCCACAGGCTGCATTGCTTCAGGATCCTTCTCCTCATTTTCATCCTTGATTTTAACATAGTTCTTGCACTGAAACTTGAGGTGCCCAACACGGCCACACTTCTTGCAGGCCCCACGGGATACATCCACATCAGCATTCGTTATCTTAGCAAGCTGTAGAAGCCCCTGGAAACTAGCATATGCATTTTCGGCATCAGGTTCTGCATTTGGCAGATTTTGCGAAGAATCCTTCTTGTCTTCCTTATTTGGTGCATAAGGGTCATAGCCAATAGCACTTTGCCATATGCCATGGGTTTGAAGAGCTGCACTGCTGTGAACCCTATTGTTCGCAGGCATGCGAACCCTACCTGCTGTAGCCGGCATCTTGAGATTTCAATTTCAATCCTGCACCTGGGAAGAGAAAAAGAAACTTAACTATCAAGATCTAAAACAAGGCAAAAAAAAAATAAAAAATCCAGAGGTCAAGCCTGTTTAATTTTCAACATAAAACAGCATATAATAGTTCGAGAGCAATGAAAACTAAAGCAGGTCAGAAAAGACAGATTACATGGTTAGGACATTTCTCACATTTTCCTATAATTAGTTACAATGGACTAACACAATAATATCTTAAATATTTGTTATGAAATAGAAATTGTTCTTTCGTCCAATTTCAAGATATTAGTTCTGCAACTCTCACATGACCAGCCCATTGCGGTCCATAACTTGAAGAAGTATACTGCAAAGTGCAAACATGTATAATATTAAGTGAGAATTCTTATTCACAGACACAGGTACAGCACCACAGCCATCAGAATGGCGCTAAACTACTGGTCCCCAATAGGTCAAAAGCCCTCAATGGCATAAACCGTGGTCACTTTTAAGCATTACCAGACTATCATAATGACAGTTAATACAATAACTGTCATAAAAGCCACCATCACAGAAAACTAAAATCACAAGTAGCAATTGAAGCATATGCATAACATGAATTCAGCCAACACTTTGTCATTAGAATAATCCCAGTGTATAATATTCTACTACCCGTGTTCTAATGACATAGTTGTTGTCTGCAAATATTTTTAGCAAATGTGAAACATAGGATTTAGATATCTAAAAAAGCCATGGAATAATTGTTTTCTTTTTTACAAACCATGCCCACCCTTAACTTTACCACACAATGCATAAATTGGTATGATTTAAATCAAGCAGCAGATATATTCTTTGTTAGCATTTGAACAGATAAATGGAAGCATCTGAAAACACACTCCAATCACAACAATTTGTGCAGGCTTCAAATTTCAATGGACACAGACAACTAATTTATCCACCGCACAGCAAGGAGGAAAATGTTGGGTTAGACAATTCATCAAACGACTTGTGCTCAATCAAATATTCAAATCAACTAGATAATCACCATAATGAGTACATTACTGAATCTTCAACCATCACTCGAGATAAAGGATGTTATCAAAATTCAAACATGAAGAAAGAATGATCCACCACACCCTCAAATCAACTACACACATACAAACCAGATCACATTCTCGTTTATCTCTAGTTTCGGTATTTTCATCAAACACCCAACATGTCATAAAGAAAAACATACACCTCAGAATCAGCCCAATTCATTTATCCATGTGCACTGTTCAAAAATTTCAGCAAAGTGAATCCATATGAATAAAGAATAGAAAATATAACTAGTCATCAAAATAAAACTACAAGGAAGGATAACCTATGTTCTGCCTCCGCACCAACCCAAAGTAAAATCAATCCATAAACAAAAAAAAAAAAAATAGAAGCGAAAATCAGCAACAACATTCATGAATACCAAGGAAAAAAGCAGACGCCAACTAAAGCAAGATGATCTCATTTTGCGATTCAGAAAACATCGAATAAAACAGGATAAAGAATGGCAGGATTTAAGATCAAAGAGAAGAGAAAGAGAATCGGAACCGTACCAAGATTTGCGACGCGAAAGAAGAGATTGAGATTTGGAATAGGATGAATGAATTAGGGTTCGCGAAGAACAAATTGGGATTTTGTTCGCGAAGAAAGAGAAAGTGGGACGGGGTGGGCACTTATTTTTAAAAGAAGGGGCACCCAATTATTATCCAAATTTTAAAGATTTAAATACACTTTTTCGTCAATAAGTTTTAAATTTCAATAGAGCAAATTTGTGATTAATTAAATTTCAATTATGATAATGTATACGTGTTATAAAAACATGTCGGATGATTTAACTGTTTTTTTTTTTTTCCTATTTTCGTGAATTATTATATTCTCAGAAAGACTGTCGGTCACTAATTTATATAAAAAAAAATTATTATATTTTTAAAATCGATTTAGTGATGACAGGATAAAATAATTATATATTATCATGCTGTAATTATCCTATACCGTTATAATTTGTTGTTTTTTTTATATATTAATAAAAAATAGGTATCGTTTGAAAGAGTTTAAAAATAATTTATTTATATTTATCTTAAAATATGTATTTGATTAAAATTTTAAAAGATAGTTTTAGCATAAAAAAAATCTTATAAATTTTAATAAATTTTAAAAGGTTTTATAAGAATCTTATTACTTTTAAGATGTTTTTAAAAGAACTTCTAAAATTTTGATTTTAATCAAAACTTTATAATTTAGATTTTAATGAATTTATATTATAAGATTTTAATTATTTTTTTAATAAACTTTTCATAAAAATATGAATTTAAAATATTACAAAAATTGATAAAAAAAAATATAACAAAAATAAGAAAAAAAAGTAAAATCAACATTATTTTTTTTATTTTTTTGCCAAATAATTATATCTATCTTTTAATAAATAATTAACTTTAATGTCCTTTTAACTAATATTTTTTCATATACCTAAATTTATATTAGTTTTTAGTGCATTAACATATTTTCTTTCATACACTTAAGTTTGAACAATATATTTAAAGTTATAATCTTCATTAACTGATGAAAATTCATTTAATAATTCAATTAAAAATTTATTAGAATGACATTCTTTGTGAAAAATAATTTTTATATTAATACATATAATATTATATTATATAATTTATATATTAATTTATATAATATACATTGTAAAATTTTCTTTCAATATTTTATTTTACATATAA